CATTGGGAATGAGGAATTGCTGGCTGGGAGGGTGGGCAGGCCCTGGCCCAGGGTGCCCAGAGCAGCTGTGGCTGCCCCTGGATCCCTGGCAGTGTCCCAGGCCAGGCTGGATGGGGCTGGGAGCAGCCTGGGACAGTGGGAGCTGTCCCTGCCCATGGCAGGGGGTAGAAGTGTAGAAGTGGTTTAATATTGAAGGCCACTTCCAACCCAAACCATTCTGTATTCTGTGTTTATCTTACGGGTCTCAGAACAAAGTGCCAGCATGTCCATCAGATGAGAATTCCCTCCCTACAGAAAAGCTGCATTTAGAACCCAGAAGTCACTGATGTTAACATCATACTGTAATATCTACAGCCTTGAAGAGCAGCAAAACCAAAGGAAGGAAAAAAAAGTTGCAGTTTATCTTCAGGGCCCTCCCGAGTGCCCAGTGAATGCTCAGGGCAGAAGCTCTAGCATTCTGTCCAGGGCTAAAACAGAAGGTGGGTGCCATGGTGCTGTCAGAGACAGCTCTTTTTATGGGAGACAGAAGACAGTTTGCTCTGCTCTTTATGCCTGAACTTGGAAACATGAGGGCATTCTAAGGACATCCCCAAGCTTGATACGAGCACTATGCCCCCAGGAATAATTATGTACTTGTTCTCAAGAGGAAAGGCATGCCAAAAAGGAGATTTCAATATTAGAGACTTACTGTGCCACATGTTTTTGGGAAAACTAGCCTGTAAGTGCAACTTTTCAATTGAAAGAAAGGTATTTTGGTTTTCACTCCCTCTATGCTTTTAAGAGGAGAAAATTTTTTTAAGATTACCAGACAGACTTACCTCTTCCACAAAGCCACTGCAGCACAATTAATTAGCCAGATTTCCCAACTTCATAAAAAATTTTTAATAATTCATGTCCAACCAAGTTTAACACCTGAGAACACATTTCTATGGTTTGGTTATCAAACTAAGAGTTTCCAGAACTTGTAGCGATTCCAAACTAAATCTTTGTGCACTCAGAGGTTCTGCCATGACACATCATCAAAGGGACATATTTTTCAAGGAAAACATTGAAAAAGTGAGCCAATCACTATGGGAAACTTCAGTCAAAAATACTGAAAAAAAGACCAGTATTTTTATACTTCTCCTGCAACTTCCAAGTGTTATGAGTTTGGTACTAACAAGGAAAAAAAATACCTTTTGTATCCCTAGTTTCTTCTTCTATGAACCTGTGGTAGAGGTTTCTGACTGGTGCACTCATAGACTTCAAAGGCTGATACAAGATCTTGTACTTGCCCACCACGGCCTTGTTAATCTCTTGAACAACTGCATTAATCTGATCATATGTTATTCGGCCTTTCAAATACCTACAAATAAAAATAAGAATCAGTAACCAGAAAGTCACAAAGTTCCGTGTTTATTCTTCTCTTTCATCTGCCTTAACTGAAGAAGCCATTCCTAGTTAGAGGCAGTTTCTCCTGTTTTGTATAAATGAATATATCTAGTAGTTAATTCTGTTAATTTCCTTGATTGCTTAACAATCCTGAAGGTAAAAAGGCTGTGACAGAACATAAACCAGAAAGATAAAATATTAGGAAGTTAAATTAGGAAGCAGAATGCATTCAGTGCTTAAGCTGTAAAAAGCTTTTCAAAATGGAATAAAGGTTGCTTTTATAGCGTACCACTTAAACACAGAAAATTAAAGCAACTTTGCAGAAAACAGCATGAAATGAAATGTCTGCCTAGGAGCACAACTTGGCTCATATTATCACCACAAATGAGCTGTGTTTGATGTTACAGCCATTTATTGTTTGGCCAGGGCAGTGAACAATCCGGCAGCGGGCATGGATCGGGGCCAGAGCACAGCGGCCCCGTGCCCTCCACGGGCCCTTTTAAAAATTTTTTGTTGGTTTGTTAATATTTGTTTGGTTGGTTTTTGCTTTGTTTTTTTTTTGATGTGGCACTAAGTGCCATGGTTTAGTTGAGGTGTTAGGGTATGGGTTGGACATGATGATCGTGGAGGTCTCTTCCAAGCCAGTGATTCTGTGATTATTGGGTGTTTTTTGATGAGCTGCTAGCTGTGTGTTGCCTTCTGTATATTTCTGTGCAGCCTACTGAGCTGTGAAGATAAGGTTCTGCACCACCAGCATCCATTTCTGAACTCTCAGAGCTTTTCATAATACTAGTACTAGAAGAATAAGGTCTGTTGATAACAGCCTAGAGGTACAGGAAGCACAGAAGATAAAGAACAAAGTGATGTGGAAATACTAGAACATTGGAAGATTTGCAAGTAAGGCTATTCAGTATTTATAGATGTAAAGTCATGCCTTCAAGGAAAAGGAACTGTGCTGCACACTGAGAAACCATTATATAAAAATGAAATCTGAACTCTAATGACAAGCAGTAAGCTAAATACAACAATACTTTCCTTCCCCCCAAAAACGGCAGTAAAGGCTGGGCCAGCCCTGCAATCTGCATTGTCCTGTGGCCTTCATTCAGTTGCTACAACAAACCCAGCCTGGCTGTTTGTGTTTTGTTCAGTATCGGTTTGCAGATGTGAGGAATTACACAAGTGTTACAATTCACTCTGAGAATGAATGCTCTAGGTCAGTAGAGCAGGTGGCTCAAAGCTGCGGGACAGCAAGACTGAAAACATCAATGAACAGCGAGTTCCTCCCTCGTTTTAATCTGAGCAGACAGGCTCAATCTTTGGGGTGCACACAAAGAATTCAAAGCAGAAGTAGGTAATCAATTACAAGTTCTGTATTCCAAACCAGAATTCAGACAGGCATTCTGCAATTGCCAACTCAAAATAAGCGCTGTAGATTTCCACAGCAGCCAGTCCCTGCTAGGCAGACAGGCCGGCTAGTTGTGTGAAACTGAATCCAAAGCAATTGCTCTGCCTCCAAACCGAATTTGAAACTTAGTAGCCACTAAGTTACTTGCAACCAGCTTTCAACTTTATTGCTACCTCGATGAATTCAGGAATTCAGCATTGGAGGCGCAGCCATCCCGTAGCTATAAAATCGCTCCACTTTGCCCAGTAATAAAGCAGCAGTGCCCCCCTGACATGCAGCCACAGCCGGAGCACAGCCTGTAACCACAGCAGGGCTCTGCCTGCTGCATTAACTGCTGTTTATTGCTCTCTTTTTCCTCCCTGCGCCACAGGGGAGCGTGCCGAGCCAGGAAGGCTCAGCCCAGAGGTATAAAACACCTTTATTTAAGTTCCTGTGCTCCCACTGTCAACACACAGACAGTGAACACGCTTAATAAAGGCAAGGCAGCACCTCAGCTCATCCTGAAACTGAAACAGAGAGGCAGGACTGGGCTGCCTAAACCTAAACACAAATGTTCCTTGAGAGGCCCTCAGGCATCCAAGATGCTTTAATCTGAAATTAAACCCTGTCAAAACCAAATGGAATTTTTATTCTGTGCGTAACTAAGGATCATAAAAACTCCAGCTGTCCCACAGCCCTCTCATGTTTCTACACAACCATGGCTGGCAAACCCGTTAATGCTGACATTTATTTCAGTCCATATGCACGCTAATATAAAAATACAAAGTTGAGAAGTTCCAAATTCAGGCATTTAATTTAGATTAAAAATAACTTTAAAATCTGCTTCACTATTCCAAATGCAGTAAAATTCAAAACTCTTCTAAAAAAGATGCAGTCAGTTTCTTTTTTTAATCCACAGAAGCCCTTTTTCAAATCATTTTTTCTATAGGTATGAAAACCAGAGCACAGTGCCATGTTCCTCAGAGAAAAGAATAACATCAATATAACACATATATACCACTCTAAAAGAGATAAAGCTTGTAATGGCCACCCCCTGCTCTCTCAAAAATGGTTGGGCTAAAATAGCCATGTATTCTCCCAAGCCACCGTCTTTTGAGACTTGAGAGTTATAATGAATGCAGAGAATCTAAAATGCTTTCAGCAGTAAAATTTTTAGAAAGGAATAAAAATTCTAGACACAGAATAAAGCAAACATTTTCCTCTGCCTCAAAGTCAAAAGTTAACAAAGACAGGTACTGTGAAATGTCCTTTATCTTCCTCCAAAAAGCACCTTCCTGCAACAGATTTAAAGGGTAAGATAATTTGCAGGTTTTTTATTGTGCAAAGTGCTCTGTTTGATCAGGGTGCTCCACATCTGCCCCTTAACACAGTGTGTACCTTTGCTAAATGCCAGCTGCCCAGTCCTAGGACTATGAAGTCACTGAAGCCTTTTTTGTGTTCCTTTTAAGTGGCCTGATGGTGTTAGGAATAGATTTTCTTTCATGTTCAGCATAAAGCAAGTGAAAACAGCCTCCATTTTTCAGTGACCACCCCCCATCTCCAGTGCTCACCTGAAGAAATGGGCCCTGAACCAAATTCTAATTCTTCCAAGAGAATAAATTCAGTGTAAGAGAATTTGTATTACAAGTATTTGCTGCTTAGATTTGGTCAATCAGTATGTGAAATTGCAAGTACTCCCTCAATCTTGTACTACAACATTGCCAGGCAACAGAAATACTGGTAGATTAATAGATCTATGTAAATTCATGTAAATTTTCCTCCACAGAACAAACATGCTTCTCCCATCTGAATAAGATTAAATTATTTCTAGAGCTCTACCAGCACAGTCCAAGCTGCAACCTTTCCGTAATGGGTACCTTCCAACACAGCTGCAACATTTTCACAAGGGGTGCCTTCCAACTCTGCTTATTCTGTGGTTTTGTGAATCTGTAATGGATAGGAAGAGGATCATCTGGCCTCTGTCCCCATCCTCCATGAACAGCAGAGGAAAACCTTCCACTTTCAAGGGTTATCATAAACACCTTTAGGTGGGAAAAGGCCTCTCAGATCATCGAGTCCAAGCTTTCCCCCAGCATGGCCACGGCCACCACTAAACCATGCCCCTAAATGTCCTTCCACCTGTCTTGTGATGTGGAAGATCATAGCCTCAACTGGAAGTTAAAACAGTATTTGTCTGGAATGGTCTGTGTCTATTTTTCTTGCCACCGCAGAGATAAAGACTAAAAATTCCCAGGCTCCGGCTTTATTCTCTTATAATTTTATCAGGAGAGAACTACCTAAGGGAGTAAATCCACAAAATACCTGACGTCTTCTGCAGAATAAAAATACCAGGTGCATGCTCTTCTAAGGAGTCCTTTATTGTTAGCTCAATATTCAGGATAAGGAAGAAAATGGGTATTACTCACCTGAAAATTTTGAAGGCTATAGAAAAAATTTTGAAGGCTATAGAAAAAAATTATTGGAAAGCTTTAAATAAAGTACAGACTGAAAACCATATTTCTTACGAAACAGGCATCGTCAGGGAGCACAGTAAATCTAGAATCTCAATAACAATTTAGCCTTAGGCATCAAGAGAGAAATTTCTTCTTCTTGCAGAAACATTTAACCATGCCACCCAAATGCCCTTTAAGAAGTTATTCCTATATATCAGACTTCAGACAAGGATATCCATTAATCAGGTCCTGATGTTAGGGGAAAACACCCACAGCTTTCTATTCCAGAAATTTGGGAATTTTAGTGCAAAGCGGGTTTTTTGCTTTTAACAAGTCTGATTCCTTTTCCTGTCTCAAAACAGAGTGGTAAGTCAACCAATATTTGGGTCAAATAAAACCAGTATTTATCCCTGTTTTTCTTTCTATATGTAAACAAATCCTCCATGTTATGAGATGACGGCTCTTTTTTTTAATGTCAGTTCTCAAAACAAGATGAGGATTCACCTGTTTGCTAATAAATCTCTGTTCATACAATTACAGTGACTTTTGAGATAAGAGGTTTGGGTTCTGATTGATCAGTTTTCATCTTCCCAATACCAGCATAAAGAGGAGCCCAATTAATTAATTAGATTTTCAGGTTTGCTAGCAATGCCTTTAAACCATTTGGAGCTGTTGTCATGTTTCACCCCATGAAATATTTAATCTCTGTCAGTCCCAGTTCTGCAAGAGGTCACTCTCCCAAGCCTATGTGTGCCACCCAGACTGATATGCCAGGGTACAAGGGAAGCCACGCTTACTTACCCAGGAACATTTTCAAACTCCTCCATGGTTATTAATGGTGCTTCTTTAATGGGTTTTTTCTCTTTTGCAGGTTTCTTCTCTTTCTTCTCCGTGATGGGTTCTACAGCCTCTGTTTCTCCATTGTGTTTCACAGCTGGCACGGTGTTGCTGTAAAATGAAGGAATATTCAGTGCACAAACAGCAGGTAAGTAGGAAAGAGAATTCCACTACACTGCTTAGTCACAGACCTAAGTTCCATCCTGTTAGGCTGGATGAACACAATTAGTGATACTTCACAAAAGAAACATCAGTAAAGCAAGCCTTTTCTGTTTCAAATCATATCCTTCAGCTGACTTCAGCACAGTTCTTGCTTTCTGTGCTACAGAGGCTGCTAGCAGGTGAGCTGGAAGCAGTCCAAGTGCAGCATGGCACAGCTCAGAATTCAATGTACCATTATATTTCACACAACGCAAGGCCTGGCTTTTTATCAGATAAAACACAGCCCAGAGCTGCAGCCTTCACAGGCAGATTTGAAATACTTCATGGCTCTTTGAAACAGGTTCAAATCTTGGGAAGCCTGACTCATCCATTAAACTTTTGAAGCAAAGAAATTCTACACCACCTAGCAGACACTTAAAAAAAATTTTTAGGCAAGATCCAAAAGGTCAAAGAATTTCCTGATTTATTCCTGATTATTAGAACATCATTTTTATAAATTCATCCTTCCTCTAAACCCTCAGCTTAGAGCCTCCAACCCCAAGGGATTTGCCAGCCACCCACCCAGCTGCTCCTGAGCAGGACAGCAAAGGTGATGCATATGGCCAAATCCACTGTCATCAGAACACGAGGGCATTACTGGCATGTGCAGCAGAATTACATAAAGCACTACAGAGATGACCTGGACAAGGAAATAATCCTCTGCTTGGATCTGACCGTCCCAAAGAGATCATGGCTGCAGATGGGGTCCTATGGCAGTGAAGGGCAGCGCAGTGCCCCACCTGTCCCCCCAGGGGCAGGATTTGAGGCGTCACTGCTGTGCTCCCCGAGGAACAGGACAGGACAGTGAGAGGACAGTGAGTGCCACCTGCTGGCTCCCACACCGCTGACACGGGGATGGGAGCGGCTCTGCTCCGCGCTGGGACACCGCACAGAGCCCTTCTGAACCGGCACATCTGCAGCCAAACTGTCGCAGATGTCATCATCTGGAGAACATCTGTTTGCGTCTGAACAACAACAGAAGGAATCTTGGCACCCTGCAGCTAGCAGGGAATGTCAGCAAACTGGAGGGACAGGAGAGGAGGGAGCATTTAGGGTGGTGGTGGTGGAGGTGGGTTTGGAATGAAAGGATAAACACAAGAACCAAGGAAGTTCACATCTTGAAACTTCATTCCTCCCACGCTCCAGTCTCCTGCTGCCTATCACACTGCAACAAACCTTTTCTAGACGATTCCCATATCCAAGCACTCTTCCTTTGTGTTCCCACCCACTCCTTTGCCCCTGCACTGCTGCAGTGAGGTGGTACAGACACAGTTCACCACTGACCTGAACCATGAAAAGGAAATATTTATGCTTGTTTACAAAATCTGGCTCTGGTGGAACGCGAAACTGAATCTCAACAAACGCAGGGAATACAAAGAGCTTGAGAGATATTGAACTTGCTTTTTTTTTTTCAGTGAGATTCCTCTGGTGAACAAGAACAGAAAACCCAAGGATATAGGAGAGAAACAGTAGCTAAAGCCATGAATTGCTGAGTTTCTCTGTGTGGGTGTTTTCATTTTCCCAGGGACTTCGAGGCCTGTCTCACCAGCATTCAAGTGCTTCTCTGCTTTCTGCATTATCTCACAAAAACCACTCAACATTAATATTCACAGCCCCATACATCCAGGGGCAGAAAGAAGAGGAAGGTTTGGGGAAGAGGCCTGAAAACATATTTACACTGTTACAGTGGGTTTTGAACAATTATGTCCCTTACACTTCCTTGACCCTCTGTTGCACAACAGAGTGAATATCAAGAAGTGACAAAACGGGGAAAAAAGAAGAAAGTGTGTTTTGACAAATGGCATCATCACACAATGTATTATTAGTCAAGAAAAACCAGCAACAAACTGACACTGACAGAACAGCAGCTGTGAGCTGGCTGAGCACAATCTGTAGAAAATTATCAGAAAAGCTTGGTTGGTTTTACATACTGTGGTTCTCTCTAGAACGGGAAGAACTGGCTAAAGTCATATTAACTTCCTAATCACAAGCAGGACAAGACTGTAAGGGAAATAACATCCCAAAAAACCTCTTGGTGTCAGAGGTGGCACAATCACTGAACAAGCCTCCTTTACATCTAAACAATTTCCAGGAGCTAACACAAAGTTAAGACAAAGGATTTCCCACAATAAGAAAGTAAGTTATGACAGGAAGGCAGAACCCAAGTGGTAATTTTTGAGAAACTTCAATTCTTACACACAAAAAAGCAACATCTAAATTGAAAAGGAACACATCACCCCTAGAGACATTTTGAGAGGCTGTTTCCTAAACTGAGGGCATCATCTCTAAAGGGTGAGAATAAGAATAGTCATCCCTTCACCAGCTGAGAACAATTTCAATACAATATCTACACCAATGACCCTACTGCTACACACCAACAGAAATTACCATTTATTTTTCTCTTTTAGAACCCTTTTTCCACACATTTAACCTTTTACTTTGCTGGAATATGTCTGTCATGTTTTGAGACAGGTTTCTCTGGCATGAGGAGCCAGGCCAAGTGGAGCTGGTTGATTCAGGGCACATACTGGAAGCACTGAGTTCAAACTAATGCCTTGCCTCCTGACAAGCGACAAGGCGGGAAAGAAAATCTGGGATCCCCAGATAATGAGGGTCACTCTGCAAGTGACCCCACCTGACACACACTAATAATACTCTATAAAAAAAAAGCAGCTCCAAAGGATGGAGAAAAAGATGAGAAACTCAGAGTTGAAATGTCTTAGAAGTCTTCTGAGTAACAATAATTCTGTTGAAACTGTTAATTCACATCCTTGTCATTTTCACACACTTGAGCTACTTGACTCTGAAAAGCTTCTTACCACAGCCCTCTCTGAGGCAAGCTAGCTGGAAAAAAATGTAGGAGTCCTGTAGGGAAAAGGGACCAAAACTCCCATAAACACAATTCAAAGAAGTCCTTCAGAAAGACAACTGAGTTAGAGGATTTTTGATTTTGAATTGTATTTGGAAGGGCAGTGGTGAACTTCACTTCTAGTGACCCAGCATTTGAGTGACTAACCCTTTAATGAGTAGGTACTGCAGTTACAAAAGTGGTGTGTTTGTGATTCCAAAGGAAGGGATGCCCAGGCTCAGAGAAGCACTTGCTTTCTACTACATCCCACCTGTCCCTGGAAGCTCCCTTTGGAACAACCTGGGATTTTACAGACTTGATCTGACAGATTTGTTGGGGTGCTGGCACAAGCCTGGATGAGATCCAACTCCAGAATCAACAGACACAGCAGCTTTGGCTCCCAGAGTTCCCCAGTTAACATGGAGTGAAAGGAGCACAGCTGTACACGGCTGCAGCTGGACAGTGCTAGGAGCAGCCCAGATCCCCTGGGCTCAGGTACCACATACCAGCTCTGGGGTTTAGGCAGATAGCGTGGAATGTGTTCAAGGAGGTGCTGTGCTTCCTTCTGATCTCTCTCAGCAGCCTTCTGCATCTCCTGAAATTGATAACAGACTGTATCAGAAATCTCATCCTGCTACCACCACGCACGTAAAACTAGGGCGATAGTAAATTAATTTTCAGCTTTTTAAAGAGATGTCTTTGTTTTCTCCCCACCATCTTACCTCCTTATCCCATAATTTCCCCAGGAAAACTAGTAAAGATACAAAGGAAGAAGTGTCTGTCCTTGCCCTCAGAATATCAGAGAAATTTGAGCAGGCAAGAGGAACTTTAGCAATACACCCTGAGCAAAGTCTGGTTGGGGAATGGTGGTGGTGAAGATGAGATACTGTGGTAAACTCACCTCCATTCCCCAGATAACATCTCCACAAAAGACTTAACAAAAGCACCGTGAACATACAGTAGAAAACCAGACAAATATTCTAATTGAATACTTTGTGCAGCTATTGCAAAGATGTGTAAGTAGAACTGCTCTTTAGATCACCGTATCTATTATGATAAAGACATGTTTTCAAGGCCAGTGATAAACACATGATTTTAATGTCCTTAGGATGAAGGAAGGTAGACTTACATTAGATATTAAGAACAAATTCTTCCCTGTGAGGGTGGGCAGGCCCTGGCCCAGGGTGCCCAGAGCAGCTGTGGCTGCCCCTGGATCCCTGGAATTGTCCAAGGCCAGGCTGGACAGGGTTTGGAGCAGCCTGGGACAGTGGGAGCTGTCCCTGCACATGGCAAGGGCTGGACTGGATGAGCTTTAAGGCTCCTTCTGATTCAAACAATTCTACAATTCTATGATTCTATGCACAAGTCTTGAAAAATACAATTTTTAATGTTCATTGCTCTGGAGAACTGCTTGACAAACCGCCAGCAAGCCTGTTCCAAGCCCCAGTTTTTCCTGTAAGCACATGTACCCCAACATCACTAAGAATCCAGGGGAAAAAGTGACATACGTATCAAAGACTTCTTTGAATCTTTCAGTATTTTATGAACAGGAAAAGAAAAAAATTACTTTGAGTGAATCTTTCAGTTTTTCTTGCTGTTTAACTTCATTTTCCATTTTATTCAGGAGATCATGTACAAGGACCACCTCATTCTGTATTTTACGGAGCATAGGCTTGTAGAAATCATCCTCACCTGTAAAAGAGAGAACATGAAGCTACAAGGTCTCCAAGAAAAAAACAAATTCCAATATTCCTCCCCTTCACAAGCAGTGATTATCTAACTCCCTGCTCCTCAGCCACCATACCCATCCAGGAGAAGCAGCAAACCAAACTGTCAGCCTTGTACTCCACGCAGCCAACAGAGTTCATGGAATCACTTAGCTTGGAAAAGCCCTCCAAGACCAGGTCCAACTAATCCCCCAGAGCACTGCCAAGGCCACCACTAACCCGTGTCCCAAGTGTCACAGCCACATGGCTTTGAAATCCCTTCGGGAATCAGGATTCCACCACCTCCCTGGGTGGATTCCTGACCTCCCTTTCCATGGGGAAATTCCTGTTGATGTCCACCCTGAGCATGCCCTGACCATTCCCTCTGCTCCTGTCCCTGTTCCCCGGCTGTCCCCTCCTGTCAGGAGCTGTGCAGAGCCACAAGGGCCCCCTGAGCCTCCTTTGCTCCAGGCTCAGCCCCTTCCCAGCTCCCTCAGCCTCTCCTGGGGCTCCAGCCCCTTCCCTGCTCCAGCCCCTCAGGGTCTTTCCTGGAGTGAAGTGCAAGCCAAATGCCACTGCTGCTCTTGTTTACCTATGTCTCTCAATAGGAGACACTTTTTAATTTCTGAAATCTTCATATTGATGTGGAGGCATAAATCTTCCAGTCTTGAGGATGCCATATCCTTCATCATCACACTGAGGGGAAACAAAAATGAAGGTAGGAATTTAACAAAGACCCGAGTTGCAAACATTGCCTACAAAAGCAGAATTTTTAGAAAGACACTGATCTGTCACAGAAGCAAAGGGAACATAAATGAAACAGTAAATGGAGTAATTATTTTTTATCTTTTTTATCTAAATTGAAGGCAGGAAAGGAAACATAAAGTGGCATTAGACAAGGCAATAATTTTTGCAGAACTTTGGACATAAATGCAGTGTGATATCAGTGCAGTGATTTTTCACCAGACGAGGAGCATCATTATTACGTTGAAGTGTGCAGTAAAAAAGGAGCTGGAATTTACTGCAAAAACCAAGAAATACTTGGCTTATGTGAGGCAGTTTTAGAAGACTCTCTCAGGGAGACTACATCAGATGATTGATGTTTAAAGAGGTGTGTTTTTTAAAAAACATAATTAAGCAAAAAAAAAGTGTCAGCAGAGTTATTAGTGAAGTCTGAAGGCATCAAAAAGAGCATTTTAGATACTATATTGTATCTATAGATACTATAGATACTATAGTATCTATAGATACAATATAGTATCTATACTATAGATACTATATTGAGCATAATAGATTACTATATTGTCTATAATAATAGAATTATTAACCCTCTTATAGACAGGAATTGATTAAAAGAAAAAATTATACAATGTGACAAACACCCGCATTTAACACTGTGGCCCGGCGCTGAGCGCTCACACAGCTCCCTCCGGTGGCTCACACTTGGAAACTTTTAAAACGTCTTTATTTCCCTTTTGTCTTAAAATATTATCAACTACCGCGCTTATTAAACCCGTTCTTAGAGACCTGCCTCCTCCTCCACCCTCCGTACCTGAGTGGAACTCCGAGGCGGATCGGGATACCCTGGAAGGGATCGAGCTCACCCCTGCGCCCCCGGCAGCGCCCGTTTCTCCTCAGGTTTCACCAGGCCCAGCGCCGGTGATGCACGGCCTCCGTCCCTGTCCCACTCCCTCAGGAGGAGGCC